CTTTTGTTTGTCAGACTTTGCACAAATGGCTTAGTCTGGCTCTGCCTACACAAGCTACCCCATGACCTATTCCTAGCTCAAAAAAGTTTACTCCAGAATATGAACAGGCAGTTCTCAGATGAACAGATTAAAGCCATCTATAGTCATATGAAAAAATGCTCTAAATCACTATTGATCAAAGAAATGAGAATCAGAACAACTCTGAGGTACCATATCACACCTGTCAGATTGGCCAACATGACAAAACAGGTAAATGATAAATGTAGGAGAAGATGTAGGAAAATTGGAACATTAATGCATTGTTGGTGGAGTTGTGAAATGATCCAACCATTTCGGAGAGCAATTTGGAACTATGCCCAAAGGGCTATCAAAATGTGCATACCCTTTGACCCAGCAAGAGTACTTCTAGGGCTACATTCCAAAGAGATCATAAAAACAGGAAAAGGATCTACATGTACAAAAATATTTATAGCAGCCCTTTTTTTGTGGTGGCAAAGAATTGGAAATTGAGAGGATACCCATCAATTGGGGAATGCCTGATATAAATATAATGGAATACTATTGTGCTATAAGAAATGATGAGCAGGCAGACTTCAGAAAAACCTGGAAAGACTTGTATGGTCTGATACTGAGTGAAGTGAGCAGAACCAGCAGAACCAGGAGAACATTGTACACAGTAACAGCCACATAGTGCGATAACTAACTTTGATAGACTTAGACCTTCTCAACACTGCAAGGATCTAAAACATCTCCAAGAGTCTTATGATAGAAAACCCTATCCATATCCAAAGAAAGAACTATGGAGTTTGAATGCAGATGGAAGCATGCTATTTGCTATTTTTTTTCTTCTGTTTTGTTTTGTTTCCTCTTTCTTGTGGTTCCTCCTATTGGTTCTAATTCTTCCTTACAACATGACTAATGTAAAAATTTTAAAAATGAATTTAAAAAAATTTACTCCAGTTTGGCTGGTAATCCAGAAAGATGACCCTTCTTCCACGAAGCTTTCTTAGATTGGCCCCCACCCCAAGGGACTGGGTCCTCTTTGAAATTCTCAAACTGTTTTAGTCTCTGGTATGCATCTACTAATTTTCTAACTTGTACTGTAGTGGTTTGTCTGCCTATGTCATCTCCTTACTAGATTGCAATCTCTCTGAGAGCAGGGTTGTTATTCGTCTTTGTATGTCCATCTCCTAATTGAGCAGCACTAAGAATATTTGTTGATTGAACTGTTGGTTAAATTAACATATTCTTGTTTCCCTAATACCTACCCCCCAATTAGTGCCACATTCCCTTCCCAGTAGACAGACTTTTAACATCTCCTAGTCAAAGCTTCACTTGGCTTGGTTTCCTGAGCTCTTTGTCTCTGTTATCTCTGCCTTGTGGCTACAGGAATCTGAATCCATCAAAGTGAACACAACGTTCTTGTATCTGCAGCTGACCTCTCTCAGTCAGTTACCCTCCTCCAGATTATTGCTTCATCTCCATTACAGGACTAACACTACTGTTTCTTAAAGGGGTCCAGGTCCCCAATCACTTTTGCTTCCTGTGTGTTGCTCAAAAAAAAAAAATTTCTGGGGGCAGCTGGGTAGCACAGTGGATGGAGCACCAGCCTTGGAGTCAGGAGGACCTGAATTCAAATCCAGCCTCAGACACGTGACATTTACTAGCTGTGGGACCCTGGGCAAGTCACTTAACCTCACTGCCTCACCAAAAAAAAAAAAATCTCTGACTTCACACTCTTTGAGTGCCATAAGGCTCAATATAGGATAGGATGCTTCTCTCCAATTCCCTCTTTTTGGGAACTATCACCACATACTTTTTTTTTAAACACAAAATTGGCACCTCCCTCTCTGTGATATCAGACGCAGGAAAACAATCACTTGAATGAGCCCTATCCCCTTTCCCCCATCTACAAATGGCATCACTGAGCTGCTCTGTTGTATGAGAGAAAAGGCATAGACATCCCCATCCTAAAATAGGAGTGGGGAGAGACTAGGTGCCAGATCTAGAGTCCAGCCTCTCTCAAGATCATCCACCACCATTCAACCCCACCCCACCCCTACTTCCTCCTGACAGGGCTTGAAATTCATCACACCCTTAAGCCTTACAATCAATATCCCTCCATTGACCAAAATGCTTGTTTATAGAGCTTGTGCTCTCCTGTGACTGCCACCTGGGCACAGTGGTCTCCCACTGGAGATCTAGATATGGCATTTGTCCTGAATCCCTTTCATGTACAACCAGGGTGGGGAACCTGCTGCCTCAAGGCTACATGTGGCCCTCTATGTCCTTGAGTGGGGCCCTTTCCCTGAATCTAAACTTCACAGAACAAATCTCCTTAGTAATCCCCTTAATAAAATCCCCTTAATAAAAGGATTTGTTCCTTTATGAAGCTTTGGTTAGATTTCTAGCCTTCTCCACCCATAATAAAGGCCTTGTTGCTTTTAATAGCACTGAGTTATCTGACTCCTTTAAAGAAATCTTCCAATTCCAAAAAAACTTCTACCCCTTCAGAAATACCATTAAAACATGTCTAATAGGGAAATATGTTTTGCATGACTTCACATGTATAATGTTTAACATATTACTTGCCTTCTCAATTGGTAGAAAATAGACTGGAGGGAAAGAGAGAATTTGGAATGCAAAAAAAAATTTTTTTTAATGAGTAAAAGAGAAAGGAGGAAAGAAGAAAAAGGAAAGAAGAGAGAAAGGAAGGAAGGAAGGAAGAGAGAGAAAGATAGAGGAAAGGAAAGGAAAGGAAAGGAAAGGAAAGGAAAGGAAAGGAAAGGAAAGGAAAGGAAAGGAAAGGAAAGGAAAGGAAAGGAAAGGAAAGGAAAGGAAAGGAAAGGAAAGGAAAGGAAAGGAAAGGAAAGGAAAGGAAAGGAAAGGAAAGGAAAGGAAAGGAAAGGAAAGGAAGGAATACAAAAACAACTTTTTAAACAAATACCATTAAAAAAGAACCTTTTTTGAAATGAATTTGTATGGCGATTTATTCACAGTTAAACATATTCTTACATAGCCCACTGTATTGTGTAGTGGTGAGAAATGTATTGTGCAACTTAAAAAAATAAGGGAGACTTCACTACAATTTATTTTGGGGAGAGAGAAGTAGCTAAAATTTCTAGCTTTTCCTCTTTCTGAATGCTCTATTTTATTCAGATCTGCCATGCTATTTATAACTTGGTTAACCATGGCCAAGTCACTCCTATTTTCTGGGTCTCAGTTTTCTATTCAGTAAAATGAGAGGCTTGGACAAGATCAAGGATTTTTATCCCTTTTTTTGTCATGAATCCTTTTGGCAGTCTGGTGAAGTGTATGTACCGTTTCTCAGAATACTGTTTTTAAATGTATAAAATAAACTACATAGGATAAGAAAGGAAATCAGTTACATTAAAATATACTTATCAAAATGTTAAAAAAAAAAAGTTTAGAGACCCCAGATTAAGAACCTGTTAACTAGACGACCTTCGAGGTCCCTTCCAGTCCATAATCCAATAGCATCCTATAAGCTTCATCTTTGGTGTTATGTAATTTTTATAAGCAAAATGATTCCTGCCCTAACTTGATGATTTAATGAGTGACTTCACGGTTTCCTTTCTCATATTCTGTTTCCTCTCTTACAGTTTGTCTCATTTATTTTGCATCGATGTGCAACACACCTGTTCCCTTATAACCTCTTTGAAGTAAGAAGATAGGCTACTGTCATAAGTAATGTTTCACTTGCTACAACTCTTCAGGGTGGAATGCCATCTTCCACCTTCATGCTCATACTACATGTAAAAGAAATAATGCCTGTGACAAAGGTAATGGTGGTTGGATAAGTAGTAGAAGTCTCTGACCACCACCAATCATATCTTATCAGGGCTCTAATATGTCAACATTGCAGAGAAAGCTATATATCATTATTATTATTATTATTATTATTATTATTATTATTATTATTACTGTTATTGTTAGTAGATCACATGAATATGAGCTATTAATAGCTCAAGAACAAATCCTCTGACTCACTCCACTAAATTATAGTACTCCTGGAACTTTTATATAACTGGTTACTTGCCCTGGACAACAGGCTACTGTCTATTCATAAAGTTGACAAATTCATGATGGCTATTTCACATTAGTCGGTGCTGAATCTTTGTGCCACCAAGCTCACAGGAGGTACAGACAGTTCCTGGCTAGGAAGATATGTCTGGTCTCTTGTCAAAGGTAAAGGAAAATCACTACAGGCAGCAGGGTCAAATGCTTTGTGTTTTGGCCTTGCTATCAAAAGTGACTTGGGTTTAAACCCTGGACCTTATACTACTCTATGACTTTGGAAAAGTCACAATCTCTCTGAGCATCAGCTTTCTCGCCTATATAAACAACAATAATATTTATACTGCTTGGCACCCACAGTTGTAAGAAAAGAAAGGAAGGAAATAAGTATTGATTACTGTGTTGCCAGACACTATGCTAAGCACTTGACAAATATTATCTCATTTGATCCTCAAGACAATCCTGGAGGTAGCTGCTATTGTTTTTTACAGTTGAGGAAACTGAGGCAAAGAGAAATTAAGTGACTTGCCCATTGTAAGTGCCTTAGGTCATATTTGAACCCAGTTCTTCATGATTCCAGGCCCAACGCCCTCTCTACTGCATCATCTAGCTCCCCCTTTGTAAACATTTTCTGTGTCTTGTGTCCAATGATTTCATCAGCATAGAGAACTTCTAACGCAGAAATTCCCTCCATAAATACAGATCAGCAACTCACCAGAATTTTTAGTGTTGGTGTAACTTCCCAGGGCACTGAAAAGTTGCCCATGGTCACACAGTGGGTATGTATCAGAATGACCACTACGCCATGCTGTATTTTTTTGTATATCTTAATTATATGTGTTATTTCTGTAGGTAATTACCTATTTATTATTTTAATTAAATTAAAATTTAAAAAAATAAATTAAAGTAATTAAATTATCTAAAACTTTTAGTGACATAAAACAGCTTTGGGTTCTAAATACCTGGAGGTACTCTTCCTTTCAGTTTCCTTAAATTTGAAGAAAAAGAAATGTTTTCGTCCACTGAGGGAGACTCGTGAATTCCCATCGGCTCAACTCTTGCAGCAAATGCATGAAATCTAGAAAAAACAGAAGTATACTTGACATTAAACCAAATTAAAGCTAGCATGTTCTTTTCATAGGAATATAAAGGTGTTTAAAGGGGGTTATTTACTATTTGCTACATAGGGTCTTCGTGGAACTGCCATTTGGTTGGAAGGGAGCCAAGTCTTGGATATACATGGAGTTTGGGGCACTCTTTCCCCATTAAAGGATAGTGAGCAGAAGCTCAGCTTTAGCCACATAATTATTTCTCCTAAACTAACAATATTTTGGGGAGCAGGGATACAGGGCGGATAAGATATAATTCTGGCCTGGCTTTACTTCTTGGAAGAGAGCAGAGTGGTCAGCCTAAGGCAGCAATCTTCTGCTTACCTTCCTGGACAGAATCCCATTAGAAGAGGAGACAGAGGACTAGAGATATCTATTCATGCTTCCCTACAAGACACATCTAAAAAGACCCACATGGACATTTATAATCTTCATGGGCACCACCCTACACACACACACACACACACACACACACATTGGTTATGATCTAGGGTACTCATTCAGACAGCTGCAGCTCTGAAACAAATACCATACACCAAAAAACAAAACAAAACAAAACAATTCAGACATCTTTCCCCTGACTTTCTTCATTTGTGTGTAATTGGAACCCTTTTCTATGCACAACTTTTATTCTGTTAAAGACTGCATCTGACTGAGATTATCTTATTTCTCAAAAACAAAACAAAACAAAACAAAAAACAAACCAACAGTTGACTCTCTCCTTTGCTTTTCTTCGTGTCCCTTTTTCATTGTTTGAGGGTAAGGAATAGCTCAGGAAGCCATGTGTGACCTTTCCTTATTCATGGCTTTGACTCCCAATCCTCTAGTTCACTGCTGGAGAGTTTTTTTCTCTTTAACTGGGAGTATAGCCATTTGTGTATTTCGTAAGTTCACTTTCAGAGGCTAGAATTACTATGACCCTGGGTATTTAAGCCTGCCTTATCAGACCACAGGCCTAACCTAGTGACCTGTGGGGTTACACAGATTTTTTTTGTTTATTTTTTCTTTGTATACGCACCATACAGCATAGTGTTTTACATGCAGTAGATGATTCATAAATGGGATTGGGTTTTTTTTTTATTCAGCTGAATTTTTGACTATAAAATCAGTCCTCTACTATGTCCTGCTGCTACTCAGGAAATACATAAGAAATCCCAGACATACTCTCACCACTCAGAAGTACACAGGCCATTTCTCTTTTGCTCACATGAATATTTTCCCCCTACCTGCCCCTGGTTGAAGTGCTCAGTTCCTTTAGGAAATTGATGGTGTCTTCTCCTCGGGCATTGAAGGACACTGTATGGATTGGACGTGAGCTCTCACTTGCCGAATGAAGGAGAAGCTGCTTGGATTCCTCAAGAACATCACCCACAACAAAACAGTAAATGGCAGCAATCTATAAAACAAGGACACCACCATTTATTTTACCTCCATGACACCCTATGGGCACTCAATGGATTAATGGGCCTTGAACATCCCTTCCACTAAAAGACCAAAAAAAAAAAAGAAGGATGATATGGCAGGACTCAGAGCTTCTCTGGTCCAGCATCTTCAGGTTTATTGTGCTGAGATTTGGAAAGAAAAATAATGTGGGTAAGATTTTTATTCCCAGACCCTAATATCAAAGAAGAGCTGATGAGAAATAGATATAATTCAAGGAATACATGGGCACAAAAAGGTTGAGAGATTTGGATTATAGCCTTCAGTCAAGCCCATTAACATATTTTATAGTTCAGTGATGGGGTGTTCCCAAATGAAGACAAAGCACTGATGATAAAGAAGATTCTTCCTCTTTACCATTGCAATGTTGCAGTGAAAACACACTCATCATCATTATCATCCAGAATTTACAACAGAATTCCTTTTATAATCACTTATAGATTATTCTCTTCCAAGGAGCCTGTCTACAAGGATGGATTTTACCTCCATCTTACTAACAAGGAAACAGAGATAGAGAAGTAAAAAGCCAGGCTCAAGGTTACACAGTGAGTAAGGACACCTGCTTCTCTGACTTCCAGCCCCGTCTCTACTCAGGAGGCCTCTCTGCTGGTTGAGGAATAATACCTCCAACAGGTGCTCCATTTAGATGGGTGTTCCTGCCCAGGTGAAATAGCACAGCTAATGGGGAGGAGGGAGGGGAAGACTTCAAAAGAGTGCTCAGGCATGTTACATCTTTCTCAGGTGATATCAGGAAATTCAGGCTGAAACCAAAACACAAATGCGTAGGAATTCCCCAGAAATTTTGACCTTTTGTAATACTAAGACATAGAGCAATAAACATAATCAAAAAGGTAAGACAGAAAATCTAATTCAAAAAAATTTAAAAGCCAGAGACAGGAATAAGCTCAATCTTCCAAAACCCTGGAAAAAAAAAAACATAACCACCATTTTATCTACTCATCTGCTAAAGTGAAGAAAATCAGCAGATACTTTGAGTTTTTGGTTTTGTTTTTGTTTTTAGGCAATTGAGGTTCAGTGACTTGTCCAGGGTCACACAGCTAGTAAGTGTCAAGTATTTGGTCTGAGGCTGGATTTGAACTCAGGTCCTCCTGACTTCAGGGCTGGTGCTCTATCCACTGCGCCACCTAGCTGCCCCTAATACTTTGAGTTTTTAAAAAACACATGGATCTCACTATTCCTTTAAGATTAATGGTCCCACCAAACCACACACCTATCTTTCTACTCCTTTGTTAAAAGCTGAGTATAAGGAGTTCATATAAAAGATGTCCCAAAAGTCTTAAAGTTGTTTTAAGATTTAATAGCTTAAAACAGCACTAAGACAAAAGGTCATCTTGTATAAATAAGTAACTCATAGTCATATTACTTGAAAGATACATTTTTAAAACCTGAGGCTTAAGTTCATCTGATAGTCTTTTCAAGACAATTTGATTTGTGAGGCTGATCTATTCAGAATGGGGATGTAGGTAAAGTCATGCACAGGACTCAACTCAAATAGGAGCAGGAAAAAGAGAAGAAGGCCTTATCCCCCAATAGCATCCCCACCTCTTTCTCCAATTAATTCTACAGAGCTCTTTAAAGTTCCTAATTCTGCTGTCAAGAGAAAAGTGGGGGAAGGGAAAAATAAACCCAGAAGACATGTCAATATGACCAAATGGGATATGCAACAGGGATGCAAAGCTGGTTTAAAATTTTGAAAATAATTAGCTTAATTAATCATAAAAACAACTACATGATTATTTTAATAGATGCAGAAACAGACTTTGACAAAATGCAATACTCATTTACCAAACATCCTAAAAAAAAAGTTGAATCATGGAAGGTGCCAATCTTTAATGTGATCAGAAGCACATATTTAAAAGGGACTTCTGGGAGCCAAGATGTCAGAGTAAGCAGTAAATTGCCATAACTCTCCCACATTCATCTCCAAACAACCACAAAATAGTATCCCCAAAACAAATCCTGGAATAGCAGAACCAGCAAAGACTGGGCAAAGCAATCTTTTAGTTCAAGAAACTTGCAAGATCAGAAAAAAAAGATCTGTCTCACTTGGGTAAAAGGCGAACACAGTCCAGGACAGGAAGCATTCCTGAAAGCCAGCAGAAGGGCTGGAGCTCCTGAGCCCCAGTGCAGTGGAGCAGGCAAATGCCAACACCAGGACCCCCCACGTGCCCCAAGGATAGTCCAGGGAACAGGCAGACTCCAGATCTGAGAAACACATTGTGCTTCACTGTAGTCCCAACCTGCCAGATCTCTATGTGCTTCCGCATAGCCCTGGGCAAACAGGTAGCCTCTAGCTGCCTGACCACTACATGCTTCAGTATAGCCCCAGGGAAATGCAGAAACACCCCATGGGGCCTCAGCACAAGCCAGACACCAGCACAAGGACCCCAGCTCAGCACCAGGTAAGCTGACAGACCCCTATAGCCTGCAGCAGCGCTAGCCACTCCTCACTCTCCCCCCTCAGCACAGCACTAGGCATGAGGGTCCCTCATGAGCCTCAGGGCAACATCAGTGCAACACCAGGTAAATGGCCCCTGGCACAAGAAGCCTGAGACAGTGCCCCTTCCATCCTGGAAGCAGAGGTCAAATTTAAAAGAGAAGAAAAAGGCCAAAAAAGATGAGCAAAAAACAAGAAAAAAGAATCTGCCCATATAAAGTTATTATGATGACAGGGAAAACCAAGACACAAACTCAGAAGGGGACAACAATGTCAAAACACCTATGGGCAAAATCCCAAAGAAAAATGGGAAGTGGTCTCAAGCCCAGAAAGAACTCTTGGAAGAGCTCAAAACAGAGCTTAAAAATCACATAAGAGGGGTAGAAGAAAAATTGGGAAAAGAAATGAGAGTGATACAAGAGAATTATGAAAAAAGAGTCAGCAGCTTGGAAAAAGAAAACAACTGCTTAAAAAGTAGAATTGGCCAAATGGAAAAGGAAGTACAAAAGCTAACTGAGGAAAACAATACCTTAAAAGTTTGAATTAGGCAAATGGAAGCTAATAATTCTATGAGACATCAAGAATCAATCAAACAATTTCAAAAGAATGTAAAATTAGAAGAAAATATAAAATAACTCATGGGAAAAACAACAGACCTAGAAAATAGATCCAGGAGAAACAATGTCAAGATCAGTGGACTACCTGAAAGCCATAGATTAAGGAGGACCTGGATAGTGTCTTTTGAGAAATTATCAAGGAAAATTTATATCCTGGAACCATAGGGCAAAATAGGCATTGAAAGAATCCACCAATCACCTCAGGAAAGAGATCCCAAAATAAAAACTCCAAGGAATATTACAGTCAAATTACAGAACTACCAGGTGAAAGGAAAAATACTGCAAGTGGCCAGAAAGAAACAATTCAAATATTAGGGATCCACAATCAGAATTACACAGGACTTAGCAGCTGAAACGTTAAAGGTTTGGAGGTCATGAAACATGATATTCTGGAAGGCAAAGGAGCTAGGACTATAATCAAGAATCACCTATCCAGTGAAATTAAGCATAAATACTTCAAGGGTAAAAAAATGGTCATTCAAAGAAATAGAAGGATTTCAAGCTTTCGTAAGGAGAAGACCAGAACCGAAAAAAATAATTTGATCTCCAATATCAAGACCCAAGAGAAGCCCAAAAAGGTAAAAAGAGAAAAGAAAACATGAGGGATTCAATGGAGCTGAACTGTTTAGATCCCTACATGGGAACTGTACCATTAATAGTAAAGCTAGAAGGTATGTACATAGACAGAGGCTATGGGTATAATGTAAATTTGAGGGAATGACATTAAAAAAAAATTACAGGATGAGAAAGAAGAGTACACTGTGTGAGGAAGGAAGGGAAAGGTAGAATGGGGTAAATTATTTCACATGAAGAGGTAAGAAAAATCTATTATAGTGGCAGGAAAGATGGGAGGGTAAACGATAGGCGTCACTTGAACCTTACTTTCATCAATATTAGCTCAAAGAGGGAATAATATACACAATCAGTTGACTATAGAAATCTATCTTACCCAACAGGAAAGTAGGAGGGAATGAGATTAGGTAACAGTGGAAGAGTGGAAGAGGACTGACAGAAGAGGGCAGACTGGAGGAGCCGATAGACAGAAGCAAAATACTGTCAAGGAAGGAAAAGGTGAAAGGAGAGAGAACAAATAAGAGTAAAAATAGGACAGAGGGAAATACACAGTTTGTAATCATGACTGTGAATGTAAATGGAATGAACTCTCCCATAAAACAGAAGCAGAGTGGATTAAAAACCGAAATCCTACAATATATTGTTTATAAGAAACACACTTGAAGCAGAGAGACATACAAAGAGTAAAGGTAAGAGACTGGAGCAGAACATATCATGCTTCTGCTAAAAAAAAAAAAAAGCAGAGGTAGCAATCCTGATCTCAGACCAAGCAAAAGCAAAAACAGGCCTAATTAAAAGAGACAAGGAAAGCAACTATATCATGCTGAAAGGTACCATAGACAATAAAGTAATGTGAATACTAAACATATAGGCACTAAGTGGTATAGCATCCATATTCTTAAAGGAGAAGTTAAGTGAGTTACAGGTTCATGACCAAACAAGACATAAAGAGCATTATGAAATATAAAATAGATAACTTTGATTACATCAAATTATAAAACTTTTGCACAAACAAAACCAATGCAAACAGATTAGAAGGAAAGCAGAAAGCTAGGACACAATCTTTACAGCCAATGTCTCTGATAAAGGTCTCATTTCTCAAACATATAGAGAACTGAGTCAAATTTATGAGAATACAAGCCATTCCCCAATTGATAAATAGTCAAAGGACATGAACAGGAAGTTTTCAGATGAAGAAATCAAAAATTACTTTGATTAGGGAAATGAAAATTAAAACAACTCTGGTGTACCTCTTCACATCTATCAGATTAGCTAATATGACAAAAAAAGGGAAATGATAAATGTTGG